TAATTGTTCTATTATGGATTGCAATGTATTGACTGGTAGAGTGATAGTGACCATCTACGGTGAATCATTTGTTTGGTATCCTACCGAATGTCTCAGTTTAACTTCCTCAGTCCTTCTTGGAATGTAAACACCAGCCAGAAATCCCAGTAGAACCAAATTCCCAGTTTAGGCCCAGAGTTAAACAATTCCCCAATTTACAATACCCTTTGTCCCCTGAAGCAATGCATTTTTAGGTTCCTGTGCATTCTGACTTTGACTATAGCCTGAATAAAAAAACAAATATAAAAAAATCATTGAACCTCAAAAAGGGCACTTTGGGCACTTGGGACAAAAGGGGCAGGGTCTCAGGCACCCCCGCCTGCACGTACCTGCTCTGCTGCATAATCACTAAAAAGCCCCAGGAAAACTGCATGCCAACACCTAAGTGGGTGTGAAGTGTGACAAAAGCATCTCTTCATGGCTTTCTATAAAATAAGTCTTTGAATCACTCTTAGTCTGACCTCTCAGCTGAGAAAGCTCTGCCAGGGTAGACTCACCTGGAGCCGAGACCCCGACACAACAGCCTTCAGCCTTCATAGAGATGCACAAACCCAGCCACCGCGTTAAGGTGGTGATTCAGCGGATGGGATCACTCACTCACTCACTCACTCACTCACTCACTCACTCACTCACTCACTCACTCACTCACTCACTCACTCACTCACTCACTCACAACCAGAGACGTGTGGGAGGAACCGGAGCACCCGGAGAAAACCCACGCATGCATGAGGGAGAAAATGCTAACTTCACATGGAAAGGATTTGAACCGGTGACCTCGCTGTGAAGCTAAACTTTCTACATCGTCTCCAACATGCAGCCCCGTTTTTTTTCCTCTGGCTGTGTGTTATCTGGGGGGGGGGGGGGGGGGGGGGGGTGTCAACCAGTCACATGACCTGTTTATGACGTGGTTTTGTGTTTCCGTCGACACGCCGGAGTCATAAACTTTTTAAAGCGTCTCCACATAGAAACACTCTTCTGGTGTCTGACTGTCTGTGGACGGTCCTCTTTAGGTGGAGAGTCGTCATCATGGAGACTTACAGATCCAACCATATCTGACTCATGACAGATTTCAGTCGGAGGACAAGTGTCTGTGTCCGTCTGACAATCCTGAGTAGGATCTGTCTCCAGACTCTCCACAGGTGTGTGTGGTTCTGGTGAACTCCCTTCAGAAGCAGCCTGGAGCTCAGAGCAGAGACGGTCTTGGAGCTGCAGTCTCAGGGCTTCAAACTCTTCTTCATGCTGCTCATTAATTCTGAGTTTCTCCAGCTGAAGGTTTGTGATTGCCCTATAGAGTCTGGTCTCTGTGTCCTCCATAGTCTGCAACTTGCTCATGAGGTCTCCATTCTTCTTCTGCAGATCTCCAATTTCTTTTTCTAAACTCTGATGAACTGAGTCTTTGTTGTGACTGTTCTGTAATTCTTGCTCTAACTGCAGGCTCTGCTGGTTTAAACGTTCCTGCAGATCTTCACAGACACTTTCCTTTTTCTGCAGCTCATTCTGTAAAGTCTGCACTCTGTTTAGTCTGGTTTCTGCGATATCCTGATAATAATCCAGTCCCTGCTCTAATTCATTAATTTCTATCAGTAATTTCTCCTTACTGGTGTCTTTTTTCTGCAGTTTTTTCTCTAACTCGACTCTCAGCTGCTTTTCTTTGTTAAAACACTCTTCCAGTTTTACACAGAGAGAAGATTTCTCCTCCAGCTGTGCGGACACCTCATCCAATGTCTTCTTCATGGAGTGAAAATTCTCCATCTTGGTTTTAAGATCTGTGTTTTCTTTCTCTAATTCTCCAATTTGCTTCTTTACGTTCTGATTGATTAAATCTTCGTCTAAACTGTTCTGTTCGTCCTCTAGCTGGCGCCTGAGCTCGGGCTCGTCCTCTAAACGCTTTTGGAGATCTGCACAGACACCTTCCTTTATCTGCAGCTGAATTTCTAAAGCCATAATTCTTTTGTACTGGGTTTCTGCCTCACTTTGATGGAAACCCAGTCCCTCTTTCAGTTTACTGATTTCTTTCTTTAAGTTCTCGTTACTTGTGTCTTTCTCAAAAATCTTCAGTCTTTGGTGGAGTCTGATCTGATATTCCTGTTTTAAACGCTTTTGGAGACCTTCGCATAAATCATCTTTTTCCTTAAGTTGAATATTTAAAGTTCTCACTTTTTCTTCATGGGTCTCTCTTTTGCTCTGGTAATAATCCAGTCCTTGTTCCAGTTCATTAATTTCTCTCTTGTAAAAAGCACAATCAGACTCAGCCTTAATTCTGTTTTTCTTCTCGGTTCTCAGAGACTCTTCTGCACATTTCAGATGGTTTTTGAGTTCACTCACCTGCCTTAAAAGTTGTTCCATGTTTTCATGTTTTTCACAAGCAGCTGATTCCTGCTGGACTTTTCCAGATCCAGGAGTTTTTTCTAGTGGGTTCAAATCATGTTCGGAGCTTTCTTGGTCGTCTCCGTCAGAATCAAAATGTATTTTCAGATTGTAATCCACTTCTGGATCTTCAAGGCACGTCTCATACCAAGACGGTTTTGTTTCACTAGAGATGTTGTTTCCAGGCATTTCTGGGTCTTTGTGTTAAATATTCTTGAGTTTGAGAGAGAAAGTCAAAAACGCGATGATTCTCACGAGAGCTGTGTCACACGTGTGTTAACAGTGAGCTGTGGTCACTACTACTGACTGATGAGCCTTTGATGATGTCATATAGAACACACTCATCTCCTTTATGTGTCTGCTTGTCTGCAGCTCCTCCAGATTCTTCCTCCTCCCCCCCCCCCCCCCCCACGGCTTTTCATTTAAATAGTCTCTTTTAGTTTGTTTCTTTCCCCACCGTTTTTTTTATTCTCCTCCCTCCTTAGATCATTATTTATTTATCTTGCTCTTCTTGTCTTTAGGTTTTGTTTTTATTCTTTATTCATGTTATTTCCCCCTCCTCAGCTCACCTTCCTCTCCCTGATTAGTTAATTGATTTCACTAGGTTTCTCTCCCCACGTAAATCCGTTTTACGATGGCGAATAACTTTGCAAAAAAACTGTGTACCAATCTAAATTTGCATTATTATCAATTAAATATGCGCATAATATTTTTTTGTTTCTTGACTTATATTTAAGGAGGATAAAACCACTTGAGATTAAGCATCTTGTTTACAAGTGAGCAGAGGAAGAAAGTAACAAATTAAGTTTACTCAAGTTACTGTAATTGAGTAGCTTTTTTTGTGTATTAATACTTTTTAAGTCGTTTTGAAAATATGTACTTTTACTTTTGTGTTTTTTTAAATGAATCGTAATTCGCTACATTTCAAATCATATCTGTTACGGAGTAAAAATAAATAGTAGCTTAATGAATTAAAAATATTGCATGAGCACCGCTTCTAAACCGTGGTGTTGGTGGTGGTGGTGGTGTGTGTGTGTGTGTGTGTGTTTACACATATAGGACTGCATGAGACGCTGGTTTCATCAAATCCATGCATCTTATTTCTTGGTTGAAGTAATAGTGAACAAAAAAACGTGTATTTCATAAATAATGATGTCTCAATAGTGTCTACGATAATATTTTATCTTATATTGTACCTATCTTTGGTCTGGGAGGTGTAACTTATTATGATACAAGCCTTTTAAAACATGTTAAAGTGTTACAAGAGGAGATAAATGCATGAATTTAAAGTTCATGTTTGGAGACCAACCTTCACAGTTTGGAGGCTCACGCTGGTGAGGAGACACCATTAGTTCTAGTAACACCTGGGCCCCCAAGGCCTATTCTGACAGGATGGACGTTACGGGACCCTTAAGGATTCCAGTTGGATGATTGGAGGATTATTTAGGATTGAAATGAACTGATTTCAGTGGTGAAGGGTTAAATGAGTGAGTGAACCCACTACCAAGGATGAACTCTAACTTTAAAAATCAGCTGCTCTAAATAAGCATGAAGGTCAGAGAGGAGCTCTAGGATGGACACGAATAAAGGAACTGTAATGTAGAGGTAAAGTAGGGCAGGGCCAACGTTAGCAGCTGTCATACGGTCCATTTGAAATGTTTGAATTTTATTTAGCTTGTTATGTTATGTGACAAGTTAGAGCACAGTCTCATGTTAGAGTTTTGTCATGAAAACATTGAGATAGCTCACATGCTGATGGGAGCTAAGAAATATTCTTTTTTTCTCAAAATAAAGAATCATTTTAATCACAATTGAGACCTACAGTCGTAGAACAACCTCGTCCAATCAATGTGCACGTCCTGTTCTCACTGACTGGATAGAAATCCCTCCATCAAACTGTGTTTGTTTGTGTGTGTGTGCATGTGTATGCGTGTGTGTGTGCATGTGTGCGTGCACACGCGCACACACACACGTGTTGCGAACCTGCGTTGTGATTTTGCACTACTTAGATGTAACTAATTTTTGCTTTGAGTACATTTTATTTATGATACTTTTTACTTTTACTTGAGTAAAAATGTAGGCAAGTACTTTTACTTGTACTTGAGTAAAAAATTATCAGAGTATTGGTACTTGTACTTAAGTAGGAAATTTTAGTGATCTTCCCACCTTTAATAATAACAATAAGAAATAAATTTAATAATTAGTGGGCTATTGCCATTTATTTTTGTTTTTGACATAAATTGCTTTTATTAAAGCTGTGGTCACGACTAACTCTGGGATGGTTGGTTGTGGTTTAGACTGGAGCATGTAATCCAACTTTTTTTGTTTTACTGCCGTGAGCAGAATTCTTACCCAAAATGGATTTATGGACTAAAATGATTTGACTTGCCGCTTCAAAAAGGTGTTCGGACCTTCCATATCTTTGGAAGTTCCTGTTAACTGAGTCTTGTCAACCATTGATGGGTTATTTAAATTACTGGTGTGGGCTAGTTTAATATATCATGGAACATGAGTTAATGAGTATACTTTGGTGTGGTTTATTGATAAAACTGAACCATAATTCTAGCTCACTGATGGATGACCTTACTCAGGTCTTTTGATATGACATTGTGTTTATTTTTATTATTTTATCTTTTGCTGTTCAAACAATTACGTTCAGGGGGAACGCAGTGCTAGGTTTTGTTTGTATTTCATGGTTCTTTTTAACTCATAAAAGATTATCTCAGGGCATTTTCTGTCCATCTCAGTCCTGTTTGTGTGCTGACCTCACGTGTGTGTGTGGTCTTGATTTTAACTTAGGATGATATCATGTGGACTGTGGTTGTCAGATTCTGGTGAATTTCAGCCCCACTGGGGGTCCCGATTGTACTGTTTAGAGAGAATATTGGATGGTTGTTGCTAAAGATAAGTCACGTTCCACAATGATCTCGCAGAACGCTTTTGTGCTTTCTCGCCACAGACCGTGAAACCAAGGAGATTGGGGTCCTGGTGCAAGTGCTGCTACCAGATGGGGTATCAAGGTCACTCATCTCATCCCTCCCACTGCTGTGGGACTGCTGCTGAGGGGACCACCATGACTGCGCCATCCTCATGCGAGCTCACCGAGGACAGCAGATAAGTAAACGATCTGCCTTAAGCTTGCAGGGTCCATCCACGACACCTTCACTGATGTTTGGTGGTCGCACTCTACCCTGGAACCGCCCCTCAGCACCTGACGGAAGGAGAGGAAACAGCAGCAGTTGGGAGGAACAACGGAAAAGACACCTGGTGGTTTAGACTGGAGCATGTGCAATGTGCACATCCTGTTCTCACTGACTGGATAGAAATCCCTCCATCAAACTGTGTGTGTGTGTGTGTGTGTGTGTGTGTGTGTGCGCGTGTGCGTGTGCATGTGCATGTGTGTGCGTGTGTGTGTGTGTGCGTGTGTGTGTGTGCATGTGTGTGTGTGTGTGTGTGTGTGTGTGTGTGTGTGTGTGTGTGTGTCTGTCTGTGTGTGCGCGTGTGCGTGTGCATGTGTATGTGTGTGTGTGTGTGTGTGTGTGCACGCACACAAACACGCGTGTTGCGAACCTGCGTTGTGATTTTGCATTGCTTAGATGTAACTATTTTTTGGTTTGAGTATTTTTTATTTATGATACTTTTTACTTTTACTTGAGTAAAAATTCAGGCAAGTACTTTTACTTGTACTAAGGTAAAAAATTATCAAAGTATTGGTACTTGTACTTAAGTAGGAAATTTTAGTGATCTTCCCACCTTTAATAATAACAATAATAAATAAATTAAATAATAAGTGGGCTATTGCCATTTATTTTTGTTTTTGACATTAATTGCTTTTATTAAAGCTGCGGTCACGACTAACTCTGGGATGGTTGGTTGTGGTTTAGACTGGATCATGTAATCCAACTTTTGTTATTTATGAAGTTGAATTTAAATTGTTCAATGCAACTGGTTGACAATTTTGCATTTTCAACTTTACTACTGCCACTTAAGTTCCTTACAGAGAAGAATTAGTTCTAACGAGACTTATTCATGAGCTTTCTTTTGTGGCAGTTGTTGGATAAATGATGGATACATTATTTATTATTTTAAACGAAAGCTCATCCAGCTCATTTTGCCCTGGCAACAGGCAGGCGTTTGACCTTTCTTCTTCCCAGTCCTGGCTTATCAGTAAGAACGCCCTGTGCCAGCGTATGTTTGTCTCCCTTTGGAAGTCTAAAGGAATGTGTAAATGTGTGTGCGTTTTATCATGATTTGTGTGTCCTTAATAAATACTCTTGGAGGGATTTTTGTCGGACGAGAGCGAACTGACTACTGAATCGTGTTTTTCATTGATCTCTCTCCACTTTGCAAAGTCTAAATTGTTTGGTTATTGGTATAAATTGGTATGGGATAAATCGATCAGCTTGTTAATACAACCCCTGCGTGGTGAGCTTCCCCTTCAGGTAACCCTGGATGGGAAAATGAAAATAACTAACAGCAGTCACATAAATAATGTTTAACCTGCAAAACTTCTTTATTTTCATGACCTTGACCTTGAACAAAGAGGTCAACAAGTGCTTTACACCTCTAGGAACCCCTTCAACACCGTTGGAAAACCATTTCAGGTGACTACCTCTTGAAGATCATCAAGAGAATGCCAAGAGTGTGCAAAGCAGTAATCAGAGCAAAGGGTGGCTATTTTGAAGAAAATAGAATATAAAACATTGCTGTCCTATTTTACCTGATGATGGGGTACAATGTAGCTGTTGCAGGGTTGCTCCTCTTGCTGCTGCTGATGATGCTGGAGGGCAAGGCTGTGTTGATCTCAGATTGTAGGTAGTAAAACGAACAGAGGAGAAATGTTAGTCAATTACAAAATTAATGTAAGATAATAAAAAATGGCAAAAATTGGTGAATACTCTTAGAACTGTAAGACAGAAATATCTGAGACAAAACCTGTGGTAAATAAATGGAAATCTAAACATTAGTGGATAATAGAGGAGTTTATGTCAGAGATAAGAATGTGACAGAAATATAAACAGAAAGAGTTGTGTGTGTGTGTGTGTGTTCAATCTCCTCATGTGATCTATCACTCTCCACTTGCTGTCCATCTGAAAACAAGGCAAAATTAGCTATTGTATGAATGAATTATGTAGTTATTCACATTTAACAGGTCTTGCACCTAATCCATGATCAAGTAGCTAACAAAAAACATTTTCTGGCATCAAAACATTGCAGTTGTGTATATTATTGTTTCTACACTTGTTGCTGTGATGCTGTGGTTCTTTATCCTTATCAAACACAAGAAAGAGACAAGTTTTGTCCAAACTCAGCGTGGGGCGTTTATTTACACTACTCATCCATACATCACCAACACTTCATGGGGACAGCGTCCAGCTTCGATCTAAACACCTCGGCTGGAGATCCTTCTGCAAAAGCCCACTTTCTCCTACACCACGCAGCATCATATACTCTTCAACCCCCACCTCCCTTTGATTCTGAGAAATGATGGGGTGCTACTTCCACCTGCTAATATGGTCAAAAGTAGTTGAGACTTACATAAGCTGGACTGAACAACATGTTGTGGAGCATGTACTCAGCAGCTGGGCTTGATAAGCAAGAAGTTGCACAGCACGTGTGCGGCTGGTATTGATAAGCAACATGTCAACATACACGTACACAAAACACTGCTTTTAGCTCCTACAGATCCCCCCCATGGGGGTGTCCACCCCCATTAATAAGCTGGCTACATAACATATAACATAACACATAAGTGAATGTTAACATAAACCAGTAAATGGGTGTCGAATGGCAAAATGACAAATACACTACAAACTTCAACCAAACTATATAGGTATATATGTAACGACGAAGTAACTGCAAACCAACACTTGGATGAGTACACAAAGTAAGTATCAGCTTCAAAACACAACATGGAATGTGACGTCTTTAACCATCACAGTAACACATCAAAATGCATGCGCACACCGTAAGGGGGCGAAAACCTGTCCGCTGTTCTTAACAGGAAAAATTCCCCCTTGACCTCCTGGCCCAAACAGGACGATCGCATAACGCACAGAGTGAGCATACAAGTCTAGCCTAAGTATACGGCAGACATTAGGTAACAGTGAATTAACAAAAGAACACACGTAAGAGAAAACAAACTGATGAAACCTTCCAACAGAGAACAAAAATCATAAGCATGATCGAGCATTAATTACCCTTAGCAATATTGCAACCAGTAACTGTACGTGAATATGCAATCAAAAATACAAACTCATGTGAAATAAATGATTGACGTGGATACGAATGAACGACTAGATGATGTCGATGTGACTAAACCTATAAAAAAGTTAAACACAACAGGAGGTGTAATGAATATACTTAATGTAACAACACAACTGCTCAACCGAAATAGAGAGCGGAGTCAGAGTCCCAGTTGCAGAACTGAAAAAGAAATGGAGTGAAGAAAACACAAGAGTCAAGTTCAGTTTTATTGATGACTGCTGCAGGGGTCTTGTCGCTGGAAGAGGACTTTTGAGGCCGATTCCTTAGTCGAGTACATGTAACCACAACAACAACATCTCTGATGAGACGCAAAGATCACTCCACCGTTGTCCCATCAGCCGTCCCATTCTTCAGGCACAGTGGGTGTCGTGCTGAGTCCATTGCGGCCATTTCCATTTGCACATATTGAGACGACGCAGCAAGGTTCATTTGGGCAGCCAGAGTTCGCTCCCACAGTCTCCTCACAACAGGTAGGATGCAACATGCCAATAGAGAAATCAGAATTAGTACTACTATTGCACTAATTCCTGCTTTTACCAAAATAGCTCCCCACTGACCCAATTTGAGGGCTAAGGAGTCTAAGGACCAGCTTTCCCTGCCTGCATTCTCCCTCAGCTCTATCTTTAAATCTTTCAATTTCCTCATTCCTTCAGTAAATGCACCATCAGGGGCCGTATTACTTGGAATGTAGGTGCAACATTCTTGCCCACTGGAGTTCAGAAACTTACAGGGCCCACCTTTCTCGGCCAGCAACCAGTCCAAAGCCTGGTCGTGCTGCAAAGTCATTTTGACGGTGGCATGAAGTTGTTCACCCAAAAGGCCAAGGTTATTTACTGTGTAATTTAAGATTCTTTGCTGATTAAAATAAACATAGTTGATCCATTTCACATTCTTATTTATTGTTATCCAAGGAAGAATTGACTCTAAACCAGCTATTACCTCATCTCTGGCTTGAAATTCTATGGGAATTCCTGTTGGCAGTCCTATGGCGTTTAAATGCACTTTATGATCAAACACATCATACCTCTTTGTCCTACGTCTATTGGTAGTCTCCAACTGAAGTAATTCACTCACACCTTCATGCAAGATAGTCACTGGAACTTTCATACGTACTAGCGTACACAACCCAACCCAAAAACTTGGCAAAAATTCATTAGAACATCACCACCACACATCCAGTAGCTGTCGGCCACTGGAATGTCTTGCTCACCTATGAGATCCAGAGTGGGAATCGTCATCGATATGTCTTCACAATCCTGACTAAGAGTTACAGGGTTTTCATACCAAACAGGGGTGTCAATGAGAAGTGGTGTCACATTTGCATGCGGGAACCAGGATAATACCCAAGTGACGTTACAATTGACAGATGTATTACCTACGTCCACTCCTCCATTGTCAGCGAAACCTCCGCTTGCAAAACATTCATAATCAGCACTATAATCAATTTAGTAGTCCGTTGGAGGACCATTTTGGTCTGTTTGGATCGCAAATTCAGCACATTCCTCTAGGATGTTATATTCTGCATATTTTTCAACATATTTGTACTTATCTCGTGTACCATGGAGCAATCTGCATTGGAATCCACACAACGGCATCTTAAGAAGAGGTGGAATCTTTTTATTTATCTCTATTTCCTTTCTAGTCTTACATGTGCGTCGTTGTGTAATGGCACATTCACTAGAAGTATACTTTTCCGGAACAACCTCAGGTAACATTCCGGGTGCTTGAGCGCACACTATGCAGTCATTAGGAGTCATTTCTCTTGTCGTATACAAAGCCCATTTATACCAACTATTTTGCATGGCGGCATCCCAAAGCCTATCCTCTATAGCCAATTGTCTGCTCGCTCTAGGGGAGATAGGCCCTGTGTTACCGCCGGACCTAGGTCTAATTGGCCCAAATAGTGGCTTAGGTACAGCTTTGCGATTGGTCACTTCTTGTTCATTTTGTCCTTTCTGAGTGAGATTACGAACATGGTTACCACCAGAGGTTGCAGTGGGAAAGCCAGATTTCACAGCTACACCTCCTGTGGGAGTTGTAGTACTGACAGGTGGCTTAGCGGTTACGCTTCTCAGCTTGCTAATCGGCGTTGTTTTAGATCTTGAAATCAGTGGAGTCACTAGCTGTAAAAGAGAGGAAGAGCTCCAGTCGGCCCTCACCTCTCCAACAGGGGCTGTGGTAGTCAAAACATCAGGGATCACAGTAGCAGTAGCGCTAGTAGTTAAAACATTACTTGGAACTGTGGTTATAACACCAGTTTTAACAATTACTACGTCGAATGCAGGCAGGGATGCCGACCTATGTTGCATCCGGCCTGCTGAATTGTACTTAACTTGATCACGGTGTGCTGCCTCGTCGTTGACCAAGTCGTCTGGCGTATGCTCTTGTGATGGGTCGACGAGTTGCTCCTCGGCCATCGTCTCCATCTTCACCTCCTCCAGCACCATCATCAGACCCCCTAGTGTTATCCAAAACAGAACTGTCATCAGGCTTAGCACGCCCTTCTTTCCTCCGGCCATCATGCCGGTTTGTTACGTCAGACACAATACTGCCCTGAGTTTTGTCTTTGACTTTCGTGCAGTGTGTCAGATGATGCCACGTCGATCCTCCTTCGACCTGGACTGCTGTTGGCGTTGCTCGAACCACTTTGTAGGGACCCTCTCGTCGCGGTTTGTGCCACTTCCTCCTGAAAACTTTGATGTACACCTGGTTTCCAGGAACTACTGGCCCGTCTGCGCCTGCGCTAGAGACGAGCTCCTTTCTCTTTTCCTGCAAATAGATGGCTTTATGGATGCTGGTTAGTTGCTTGATATAGCTTTTGAATTCAAGCTCTAGCTGTTCCAGCGAAGGCCCCTTGTGGGGTCCTCTAAGCTGAGGAGCTGGCATTGGCCTGCCTGTTAGGACCTCATGAGGTGAAAGATGCGTGCTTCTGTTAGTTTGCATGCGATAGCTCATTAAGGCAAGCGGCAATGCATCCACCCAGTTAAGGTTAGTACAAGCACAGATTTTGCAGATTTTAGACTTCAACGTCAGATTCGCTCGCTCGACCATCCCTTGGCTCTGGGGGTGATAAACTGATCCTAATCGTTGCTTTATCCTTAGTTGTTGCAACACACCTTTATGGACTTTTTCAACAAAAGCAGGACCATTGTCCGAGCTTATTTCCGACGGGATACCAAAGCGAGGAATCACTTCTCTGACTAGAAACTTTACCACTGTTTCTGAAACTAGATCTTTAGAGGGAACGGCTTCGATCCACCGACTGAATCTGTCAATGATCACCAGCATGTACCGTTTCCCATGCACAGACTTAATCATGTCAACATAGTCAATGACCAAATGTTTGAAAGGACCTTCGGGCACTGGAATGTGTCCCGCTGGGACTGTGATGCCCTTGTGGTAGCCTTCTGTACGTGAGCTGTCTCCCACGAAATGTGAAAGCAAAAAGATATTGTGATTCTTTGGCCAATGGGATGCTAAAAAATGCTGAACACAGATCAATTACCATGAAGTATTTAGCTTCCCCATCGATGTTACTCAGTAATGTGCTTGGATTTGGCACGTCTGCGTCAAAGTCAGTGATCACTTCATTTACAGCTCTTAAATCATGTACCAGTCTGTACTTGAGCTTGTCTGCTTTTAGCACTGGCAGAATTGGAGTGTTACATGTGCTATAGGTTTCTTTTAGTACTCCTGCTTGAATTAGACCTTCAATAGTTGCATTTATACCCTCTTCTGCTTCTGGCTTTAGTGGGTATTGGGGTCGATAAGGCAGTCTTGCATTTGGCTTCAATTCCACTTGAACTGGAGTTGCCGATGTTACCAGTCCAACATCCGTGTCATGTTTAGACCATAGCTGGTCTGGAACCTGTTTTAGCATGTCGGCTTTCAACTTGTTTTGAACTGTTTCTGATTCTGCTACACCTTGCATGTGTTTTTTGTTTGCGACTGTTACAACCTGTGGTTTTGACATCATAGTGGTGTCGCAGAGAATTTTAATCATTTCTGCATTTTTTGTAGTATAGATTAGCGGGTTATCTGTTTTCTGCCACTCTGTTTTAGTTGCTGTTAACATCATTGGTCCAAGATCTCTTGACTCAAAGCCTTTGTTTACCATTAAGGTAATGTGTGGTGCTGATTCTGGCACAGTGTGCCATTTTTCAATAAATGGGTTTTCTTCCACATTCACAGCTGCACCTTGCTGTCCTATCACGATGTATTGTGACACTAGCCTAACGTGCAAGTCTTTTGTTTCTTTGTCCCATTTTTCTTCAAAGATTCTACTGCATGATGGATCATAAGTCATTGTGCAGTGATAGTCACTGAACGGTACAGTAGCTTCTGGAATTTGAGCTTCAATAAATTTTTTCCATTGTTGAAACATCTCTGAGACTGGCTTGTTAATGTCACCAAGCCAGTAGACCTTAGCGTGTTCTGTCTGAGCAGTCATTTGAAAGTTTATTCCAGAGCTATCTACATAAATTCCTTCTGGTGTGCACCAGATTTTTGTTTTTAGTTTACACAATGCATCTCTTCCTAGTAGATTAACTGGAGTTTGGTCTGAAATCAGAATTGGGATTACGATTTCACTGTCATCAACTGCTAGTCTTACTGGAGCTGTTAAGGGGTTTATTTGTTTTGTTCCCGAGAACCCTGTTGTCTTTACGCTTTTCTCAGACATGGGGAGATGAGTTGCATAATTTGATTTTATGCATGAGTAGGTTGCCCCAGTATCTACTAACATTGGGACCGATTTGCCTTCTATTTTAACATTGATCACTGATTCTTTATTGGCGTTAGCTATTAAAATTGGTGGTTGCTCCTACCCCCCAGGGCCCTCCGGGCATCCCTAGAATCCTTGTTGTGCTGCCCATGGATTAACTGGACCTCCTCTTCCCCGGTTTGGTCATGTTCCACGACCACGCCCAGACCATTCAGGGTTTGGAATTGGATTCGGACAGTCTCGATACAGGTGACCCATCTGGCCACACCCCCAACATGAACCTGGAAGTGGGGGTCGGTTCTGCTGCACCCAGCCTTGTCGGGTTGGGTAGCGATTGGGGAAACGATTTGGAAATCGTCTCTGTGGTCCAGGCTGCTGTCTACCATACTGGTTTGGGTAGACATTGATAACCGGTTGAGATGGAGTTTGAGGCGGGGCCACCGCTGTCTGCAATGCTTGGGTTTGACTGTCACTCTTGCTGTCACTTTTCACCACTCCCGCCTGGGTCTTCGCCTTGTGCTGGAGATCATTTATGTGCAACTGCGTGAGTTTTCTCTGAGCGCACTTTTCTTGCTCAATCATTTTGTTATTGTCTTTCCGATAGCGGTCCACTGCGTGGACTACATGGTCTCTAAACTGTGCATGTGGCATTGAGTCCAGTCCCACAACATCCTCCAGTTTGTCTCGCACAGGAGTCGGGAGAGCAGAAATCAGGGATGTTCGGAACAGAGAAGTCATTATTGGCGTCCCCTCAGGACCCTCCTCCGTCTCCAGCTTCCACCGTCTGAGCTGCCTGTCAACGAATGATGCAGGACTCTCAGTCTCTGAAAGTGGCTCACCCTTCAAAGCTTTGGGGTCAATCCTGTTGGGATATGCTGCTCTTAGTATGTTCCAGAGTGCATTTCTGTGTGTGTTAAACTCCGTGCCGTCAGCCATTGGGTCCAGCATCCATTGGACTCCATTGGATGCGAGCAATGTTCCCATAGCTGATGTCCCAACAACTCGAGCCAAAATAGCTTTGAGATCTCCAAGGGCAAGCATTAGCCCAGTTGTCTCCTGTTCGAAAGTCCTAATCCACTTTCCAGTGCCAGCTTGAATGTGGGGCAGCCGCGAAACCAAACCAGTGAGGTCGAGGCTCTGCCAGGGAATATAATTAGCTCTTGTGCCCTTAATTAAAATTGGGTACTGACCATCATTAGTGTATCGAATAGGTGGTTTTAAGTCATGTCTGGGTCTCAGATCACGGCTTTCTCTGCTAGGACCTGGTTTTTCCTTCTCTTGAGTCAGACCTGTATTTGGGTCACCACGCTCTGGTGAGTGAATGCCTGGTTTGTAAAAAGGCTTGAAATTTTTCTCCTTGCTTGTGCTAGTGGTGTTCGCACTAACCTCATCTGAATGTGTGCCTGTGATGTGATTTAAGGATTTCCGCAGGCCTTCAGATATGTCCTGCATAATTTGGTCAACATCGTTTAGCTCATCATGTACGATGATCAAGGTGTGCGATGCGCATGCGTCAGGATTAAGGACGGGGAAACGCCGAGCTCTGACAATTTGTTCAAATTGTGGTGTTTAATCTGGAAAAGGCGACTTAAAGGTTGGTGGATCTGAAAGATAAGACTGTTGGCAGTGTCATGCCCTCGAAAAAAACGAAACTGCCGCGCCAACAAAAAGAAAATTACGAAGTGGAAGTGTGTCCGCAGGTGCAAAGTGACATGGCAGGTGCGCAAGAAAGCAAGGAGCTGTCAGAACTGATACGATTGATAATAAGGGAGGAGATGAGTGTGGTGGTTGAAAAACTTAATACCATCACGAATGACATTTCAACTTGTGTAAGGAGACTGGGCGAAGTAGATGGAACCTTGTCTGATATGGATACCCGAATAATAAAGTTGGAAGCGGAGTGCGGAACACTGGAGAGGAAAAATGCAGAGCTGATGGGGAAAGTTGAGCGGCTTGAAATGGATAGCCGTAAAAACAATCTCCGTGTATTTGGATTACCAGATGAGGTGGAAAAAGGCAAGCCAACAGCTTATATGAATGAACTATTTAAAGATTTATTTCAAGGAAAGCTTGCGTCTGAGCCTGAAGTGGAATGGGCGCACCGGATTGGACAAGAGAACAAAGCGGGTGGAAGAGGGATGGTTGTGCACCTGCAAAAGTTGTCAATGAAGGAGAAGATTATAGAGGTGATGAAAAAGGAACATGTCTTACAAGTACGAGGAATGAAGATAAAGATTTTTCCGGATCTGACAAGGGAGATGGCAAAGAAACGGGCCGGTTTCTGGGAGATCAGAGCTAAACTGAAGAGCGCAGGAGTGAGACACGGTATGATCTTTCCAGCTACGCTGATCCTAACTTTTAAAGGAGAGACAAAAAAATTTCAGGAACGAAGTGAGGCTGAGATGTACTATAAAACTGTGATTGAGCCTGGACTTAAGAAATAATGACAATTGATACCAATTAAATAAGAGCTAAAAGGCGTGAAGATGACGTTTCAAGAATTGGACTGAGAGCACTATTGTAGATCTCGCTATGGTTAATTTTGTTTGAACCCACATAATGATTTATTTTTGAAAGATTATGTCATGAGCTGGCAGAACGAAGCAGAAATGTATTTTCATTACAACGTTAAAGATTTTTGTGACTGTGTGTGTGTGTGTGTGAATGTGGTTGGTGTTGGGATAAAGGCAATAATGGAAGCTCAGTGTGAAATTATAAATACCGGTAGAAGAAGTTCTAAACGAATCTTCAATGGCTGATAAAATGTTGTTGCAAAAAGGAGGGTTTAAATTAGCTCATTTGAATGTGTGTAGTTTAAGGAATAAAATAGATGATATTCAAGATATTGTAGAAAAGTATAATTTACAGGTAATGGCAATAACAGAAACACATTTGGATTTGACAATAAATAGTTCTTTATTAGACATAAATGGGTACAGTCTCTTTAGATTGGATAGAACTTTACATGGAGGTGGTGTTGCTTTTTATATTCAAAATCATATTCCTGTTAAGGTAAGAACAGAGTTCACAATTACAGGTGTGGAAGCACTCTGGTTACAGTTACAATTTCCTCATTTGAAATCTGTTTTAGTTGGATGTTGCTACAGACCGCCGGATGCTGCTATAATGTATCTCCATCAAATAGGTGAAATGTTAGATATGGTTTGTGACACAGGAAATGAGATTTACCTATTAGGGGACTTAAACATTGATTGGAAATCAAGAAATTGCTCATTAAAGAGTAAATTAACCTCATTTGCTAATACTTTTAATTTGTCACAAGTTGTAAAAGATTTCACAAGAGTGCAGGTTAAAAATAATGGTGTCTGCTCTAAAACGTGTATTGATTTAATTTTTACTAATATGGCTGAATTATGTTCTGAGGCAATTTCTGTTCCAGTTGGATGCAGTGACCATAATTTAGTTGCTATTAAAAGAAAAGTCAAGGTGCCAAAAGGTCAACACTTTATATATAAAAGAATTTTTAAAAACTTTAAAGAGAGTGATTTTGTAGAAGAAATAAGAAACATACATTGGAAAGATGTAACAAAGGAGCAGGATCCGGGTAAAGCTGTAGAGATCTTTGACAATTTGTTAACAAAGGTGATGAATAAACATGCACCGATGAGGAAACAGGCAGTAAGAAATGTAGCTTCTCCATGGCTGGATAAAGAACTTAAGGAACGTATGAGGCAGAGGGACAAATTAAAATTAGAAGCAATAAAAACAAATCAATTGGAAACATGGTGCGAATACCGCAAAATACGGAACATTGTAACCAAACTGAATAAAAACAAAAAACAATTATATTATCATAGAAGAATCATAGAAGCTAAATTAGATCATGCAAAGGTGTGGGGTACATTAAATGAGCTTTTGGGGGTTAAAAAAAGGAAGGCACCTACTGTTCTAGAGGCAGATGGAGTTTTTTTAACCAAACCAAAAGAAATAGCTGATTATTTAAAACTGTTTTTTTATCAATAAAATTAAAACATTGAATAATACCAGGGAGGAGAGAAAAGAAGAAAATACATCTTATCAAAGAATTAAGGACGATATCATGCAAATGAAAGATTGTGAGTTTAAGTTTATGGAGGTATCAGAGGATTACATTAAAAAATTAATCTTAAATAGTAAAGATAAACCCCCTGGAATGGATGATATTGATATAAGATTGCTAAAATTGGTGGCAGATTTTATTTTACTTCCAGTTTCACAAATTATTAACATAAGTTTTAATCAAAGTATTTTTCCAGCCCAATGGAAAAAGGCTAAAGTAATTCCATTAATCAAAAATAACCGAGAACCACTGTCTGGTAAAAATAGTCGGCCAATAAGTTTGCTACCAGCATTAAGCAAACTTTCGGAAAGAGTAGCATATGAACAAATACAAGAATATTTTATAACAAATAGATTAAACACAATTTATCAACATGCATATAAGGCGGGTCACTCCACTACTACTGCACTTGCTCAGATTACTGATCATTGGTTAGAAGAAATAGATGATAAAAAGTTAGTTGGTACTATATTTTTAGATTTGAGTGCAGCTTTTGATGTGATTGATCATAAAATCTTATTAAAAAAATTAGAACGTTATAAATTTCAGTCGTCCGCCATTAAGTGGACAGAAAGTTATTTAACGAATCGCAAATTCAACTTCTATTTTAATGGCAGTTATTCTGAAACGGGTCAGTTAGATTGTGGAGTGCCACAGGGCAGTTGTTTGGGCCCTCTTTTGTTTTCTATTTTTATTAATGACTTACCTTTGATTTTAAAACATGCAACCATGGCTATATATGCAGATGACACAACATTATTTGCATCAGCACAAACAGAAGGCCAATTAAATGATATTTTAAAAAAGGAGTTGGATTTAGTTACACAATGGTTTAGAATGAACAAACTAGAAATCAATGCATAAAAAACTAAATGCATGATAGTGGGGAATACATATACACTACAGATGACACCTAGACTGCATTTGAAGCTAGGTAACATAGCGATAGAGCAGGTAGAAGAAGCAAGACTGTTGGGGGTAATTGTGGATTCTAGATTGTCATGGACTAGTCACATAAATCATGTCCTGCTGAAACTTGGAAGAAGTATGGGCACGATCAAATATTGTTGTAAATTTATTCCTCGTTTGCAGATAAAAACTTTAGTTCAAACATTAGTACTGTCTCATTTAGATTACGCATCAGTTATTTGGTCTAATACAAGTGAAATGAATTTAAATAAGTTACAAGTGGCACAAAATAAAGCTGCACGAATTGTTCTGGGTTGTAATTATAGAACAAATGTAAGTATAATGCACGATAGGTTGGCCTGGTTAACAGTGAAATGTAGATTAAAATATTCACTGATCACATTTATAAGAAATATAATAACTACAAAAATACCTAAAATAATTTATGACAAATTATCATTTTTTTCAGACAATCATGATTACACGACGAGACAGACAAGTGACATAAGGTGCGCACTACCGCGCTGCAGAACTAATCAAAGGCAAAGAGCAGTTTATTACAGAGCCATGGTTGCATGGAATGCCATACCGAGATTTTTGTTATTAGAGAACAACAGAAGATGTTTTCAAAAGAAGTTAAAGCTTTTCTTGTTCACACAACAGTAAATTTTGCACAGTGAATTGTAAATGTGACTGATATGACAGCTTCTATAATTTTTGTTTGTTATGGATGTGATGCGATATGATTTTTGATTCTTGAATATAGTTATTTATTGCTCTGTGTAAACTCTCCGTTTTCACCTATTTCGATTTTTCATGAACTCTGAAGTGTGTGGTAACTTATTGGTATATTATAGCAATTGAGGTGGTACGATTATAATGAGCTCCTGGAGTTTGTTGTTGTTGGGTGTGTGTGTGTGTGGGGATGGGGATGGGGGTGTTTTGTTAAATATTTGTAATGAAATTGAAAGAGACCTCAGGAAGAATAGCTCCACACTATGGTGTGAGCTAATGAGGTTCTCAATAAATAAATAAATAAATAAATAAAAATGTACATCCTCATCCTTGTTCTCAAGGTCAATCCAGTATGAGTTAGCCTTCGGTTGCCTTTTCAAAAAATCCTTATGTTCTGCAAAACAATCAATCTCCCTTCGTCCTTCTTCACTTACCGCTCGACGTTCTGTACTGCAAATTTTTTGGATGCGTTCCACGAGGTGGAGTTGTTTGTTCGAATTCTCTTTCCTCACTTCCTTTTGCATGCTTTTCTTTGCCAGGTGCTTCATCTGATTGCTGTGATGTTGTTAATTTTAAAATTGCATTGTCAACATCTAAACCCTTAGGACCTTTGTCGAATGTGTCGCGCAAATCAAAATCTCCCGTAATTGTAACGGTTCCCAAGAGGGGATACAGGCCCTCTTCTGCTGGGGCCTTCACTTCCTTCTGGGGTTTGTCCAATTTGTCTTTCATTTTAAGGAGGGCCTGTTTAAAGTTCTGTCTGTAAATCTTTCCTTCATTCCTGAATAAGTCCAGGATCTGAATTTCCTTTTCTCTTTTCTGCTGTCTTTTCTTGGACCCATCTGCTTTATGATCCTGAATTCTCAATTCCAAATTGTCACATGCTTCTACATCGTAAGTGCCTTCAGATGGCCACGGATTGCATAGTTTTCTCGTCCTTTTCGACCACTTCTCTGACATGTGCTTTATCTCTTTTGCTAAAGCAGGATTCTTTGCTGCCAAAATTCCTGCTGGCGTGACCGACATTTTGAAGTTTCAGTGACACTTATTATTCCTTTGATTAGTTAACTAGTTTGTTTATTTATAATCTCCTGAAAATAACACAAGAATTGAAAGTTGAAACAGATACTGGTGACATATGATGAAGTGGTCTTGAGTAATCTGTTGTTGCTCTGTTTACACAAATGTTGAACAATTTGTCTTCTTATTGTAAATGCCTTAAAATCAAATCTCTTCTGATGTAACACTAAAGTGAAATTAGTTCAAAAAGCTTTAGTTATTGTTGAAAGAAAAACTTAATGCCTGAAAGTTTTTTTATAGGTGAACCTTTTAAATCTGGATTGAATATGTATTTATTTGCCCTCAGCAGCTGTGCTGCAGTGGCAGGCTAAAAATAGCCTTATGCTGAACCCCAAGCTTGTGTGTGAGCAAAACTCAGCCCACAGGGTAGGGTTTCTCTACGCCCTATGGCTCACCAACCAATCCTCACACACAGCAAAGCTTTCACTCTTGCATAGAGATAAGAAAAACACACTTCAAAGCAATTTGACACCGAAGCAACATTTTCATGCCAAACACTCAACACGCATAAACATTATTATTTATTTATTAATCATAATCTATATTTCTCATATTTCACATTACCCAGCTGGTAAAAATAGTTATCAAGCTTGTGCACTTCAGCATATATTTTTATTTTTATATATGTCACTCTAAAAACTTATTATTTTAACTTATGGTTTTCTTTTTAAAGACTAATCAGAACAAGATCACAGACTTTGAAATTTGTATATCATTAAACATCAAAATTTAGCACTACAGTGAATAATATTGATTTGTTTTACACCGTTTTTAAAGCTTCTCCTGGTATTTTCTCCTTTGTTTTTCTTTTTCTCCTCTAATTCTCTGGCGCCTGTCACACCCCGTTCATCTCACACACCCACTTGTCTCAACTCGCACACACGCTTATCTCCGCCACACACACACGCTTATCTCTTCTCCAACACACACACACACAAACAATTTCAGCTCTTGAGCTCCAGAGTTGTTTACAGCCACTTTGCTGCAACTATGACGTCAACACATGCCTTTGCCAAAAACTCATGAAATTTACCAATCCCCGAGGATTCAACCGAATTACTGGCAAGCTTATCTGTCACAACTTCAGCGCTTTTTCTCAGATCCCAGTCGTTGCCCGGCTTCACCGAGACACCCTACTGGATCTCAATGTCGACCTTTTTTTCACTTGTCCTCCCTGGACTTTTATCAGCTGTCAAAATCTATTCCAATTTTCACTGTCCCAGCTTTAATTTGTCACTTAAACTTTGTCCGTCATCAAAATGACTCAGCTGACTTCACACATGTGTGAATGTTTATCACCGCTGTTCTGGACAAATGCCTCTTCTTGTTATTATAACTTTATGAGAAGGGCATGTTTTTTCTCTCAGACCATTTCACAATCCACGGAATAACTCCAAAATTGAACAAAAACTGTTCTTACCTAGGGCCCAGGAGTCAAGTTCCGTGGACTGCGAAGCGATCCGAAGAGCACGCCTCTTCTCCCCCTTCGTGGTCACCAAATGTGGTTCTTTATCCTTATCAAACACAAGAAAGAGACAAGTTTTGTCCAAACTCAGCGTGGGGCGTTTATTTACACTACTCATCCATACATCACCAACACTTCATGGGGACAGCGTCCAGCTTCGATCTAAACACCTCGGCTGGAGATCCTTCTGCAAAAGCCCACTTTCTCCTACACCACTCAGCATCATTTACTCTTCAACCCCCACCTCCCTTTGGTTCTGAGAAATGATGGGGTCCTACTTCCACCTCCTAATATGGTCAAAAGTAGTTGAGACTTACATAAGCTGGACTGAACAACATGTTGTGGAGCATGTACTCAGCAGCTGGGCTTGATAAGCAAGAAGTTGCACAGCACGTGTGCGGCTGGTATTGATAAGCAACATGTCAACATGCACGTACACAAAACACTGCTTTTAGCTCCTACAATGCAACTTACCTGTACTCTTTTTTTTTATCCTGCTGGTGAGGGACCCACTGTCTTTAGCTGCCTCACATAGCTCTTTCTGTCGCTGCTCCCGCCTCCTCTCCTTATGAGGCATGTCTGTACAATGATATATCATAATTAATTTACAAATATTTTTTCATGCATATAAAACTCATGCATACACATACTGGGACATTTCATTCCTTTTCCAGAAAACTAAATGTATATAATTTGGCCACAAATTTGCTTCATGATGCTGATCCAGAATATGTCCATACTATTTTAATCATAGTGCTTTAGTAATTATAATAAAAATAAAGAATAAAACAATATGTTTATGCTTTCATCAGTTTTACTATCTACTTTGTGCAAAACAGAGAACTGTACAGATAAAATAATTTTGCTGTGAAAACAGTCGTTTTTTTTAAATGTACATCTTTAAAACATAATGTTTTTTAATACAATGCATTCAAAAAGAGATTAAATATGAACTCCAAAATTTTGAGAAAATGCATAGTATTAGTGAACTATAAAACCTACCAGAAGGGCTGAGAAACCTTAAAATCTAAAACAAAACCATGTTCCCTACAACGCTGGACAGAATTTACAGACAAGGACTGAATATTTTGTAACACAAAACTTGTGACGGATGTTACCTTTAGTATTTTTCTTATTTCCTTTCACAAAAGGTAGCTTAATTTTAAATTTGTTCAAGTGTTATCAGTCTGCGAACCAGGAAGTGATTCTATAAACAAGAAGCAGGGCTGTGTGAGACCCCAGTCACGTGACACGCAGCAGCAATAGGAATGCAACTTTGCTGTACCTAGTTAACAACGACATTTTATTGGCAAATTCCCAATATTTAAGATTGAAAAAATATTTTCGTACAAGTACTTATGTGTCACGGTCTGCCTCCATCTGCTGTGAGTTTTGGTCAGCGTTGTGTTTACAGGTGGGCGTGGCACTCATCACAGCTGCATGGAGTTTCCACTAATCGGAGCCACCAGGATTTAAGGAGCGATGGGACTCAACTCCAGCGCCGGTCGATACTCTCATATGGGTTGCTTCTAGCCTCCTAAACTGTCCTGATCCTGCGTTCTGAGCTAATGAGTTTGTTTGTCCTGTTCCAGTTTCCTGTTCTGAACCACCTACCTGGTCTGGAGTTGTTTCCCGTCTCACCGCTCAAGGATCCTCAGGTCTCCGATCTCCTCACCCGCCTGCCTGTCCACGCTCAGCACCATCCTCACCACTCCAGCCTCTCCCAGTCTGCCTCCGCACAACTTCTGGTCTCAGACCGTAAGAACTCTCAGTCACTCAGTCAGATTCTCCTGGTTCTCTGGTTCCGGTCTTGCTTACCTCTCCTCTTATCTTTTATAGATTCCGGTCCCGTCCTGTTCCTGTGTTTCAGACGCAGCGCCTTTAGTTCTAGTTTTGTTCCCTTATTTCTGTTTAAAGAAATAAAACACTTGTATTTTTTTACTCTGTCGTGATTCTTCATGTCCTGGGTGAAAGCTCTTACCCACAGCATGGCACTTATGTACAGAATGTTTTTGGTTAATCCTAAAGCTACTGAGGTTCAGAATCGGTACCCAGCCACAGACACACACCCAGCTAGTAATAAATATCACACACACCTAGTGCCACAAAACAACTTAATAATGTACAAAATAATCAAATAACTGTGTATAGTAGTGTGCATCCTACTTACCGGTGTTAGTCCGTTTCTCCCAATCAATAAGTATGTCCTCAAAGCTCTGCACCACTCGCTCGGCCATGAAGAAAATGTGGGTGCTCGCAGCTTGTTGTAACCGGCTGTGCGCTCTGGCGTGAGGAAGAGACGGTATGGTCACGTGACTCACACCAGCTATATAACTTTATTAAACAGGAAATGTATTATTATTTTTGTTATTGTTGAGGGGGCACGAACAGAAAATTATAAAAAAAAAAAAAAAAAAATAAATATAAAAAAATCATTAAACCTCTAAAAGGGCACTTGGGGCACATGGGACAAAAGGGGCAGGGTCTAAGCCCCCCCCCCCCCCCCCCCCCCCCCTGCACGTACCAGCTCTGCTGCACAATCACTAAAAAGCCCCAGCAAAACTGTGCATGCCAACACCTAAGTGGGTGTGAAGTGTGACAAAAACATCTTTTCATGGCTTTCTATAAAATAAGTCTTTGAATCACTCTTAGTCTGACCTCTCAGCTGAGAAAGCTCTGCCAGGGTAGACTCACCTGGAGCCGAGACCCCGACACAACAGCCTTCAGCCTTCATAGAGATGCACAAACCCAGCCACCGCGTTAAGGTGGTGATTCAGCGGATGGGACTCACTCACTCACTCACTCTAGGGCTGGGCAATAAATAAAAAATGCATTGTAATCAAAATGTCTGACTCTTATCAAGATCATTTTACCACGTCAATAAATTTTATCATTAAAAAAAGAAAATATGTGTGATGGTTGGCAACGTTCATGTCCCTTTAAGAGGCTTTGAGTCAAGTAAAAATGGCCGTGTTCGAGATGAGCCAGTTCCGCGCAGATTAGATCACCGGTGATCGGCGGGCAGTGCATGCCGGTTAGATTTGTGTCCGACTTGCTCTTACTGCATGCCTACGTAGGCATCGTGAGATCAAGGCGGCCGCAGATTTTGGAGCAAAATTCTGCAGCTGCTCTCCACCGGTTGATGATGGGAAACACCTGGCTCTCACCTGATCTAAGATCTGATTGGTTCCCATCTTGATCCAAACATCCGGTGCTAGAATGTGAAATGTTCGTTGGTCACATGTGTTTTGTCTTTTTTTGTCACGTTTCCTATGAGCACACTAAAACTACAGCTGATAAGCTTTACTTTCGACAACAGTTATGTCTTCATATGCACATGTCTACAACATATGATATCCACACGCATGTGAGGATGTGTTTCAGTTGCTAACAGGCACCAGAATTAAAATAAAAAATTAAACAAGTATGAATTCTAACGCGATATCTTCACCCATCGTCACCCGCGAGCTACACATGTAGGGAACTCTGTCCCACTTAAACACCGGCTTTCAGCCACTCCCCTGCTGCGCCCGTCTGCTCTCGTCTCTTTTCCAGGCGAGGCGCGGCTCAACTCGAACACGGCCATTGACTCAGCGTAATACATGTGACGACTTTTGTTTCTGCGCATGCCTGTAGCTATCGTCCATGTGTCGTTATCTAGGTGAAATCCTCTTTATACTGTTATATTGACTTTGGGTGATATCAGCCAGCCCTAACTCACTCACTCACTCACTCACTCACTCACTCACTCACTCACTCACTCACTCACTCACTCACTCACTCACTCACTCACTCACACACACACACAACCAGAGATGTGTGGGAGGAACCGGAGCACCCGGAGAAAACCCACGCATACATGAGGGAGAAAATGCTAACTTCACATGGAAAGGATTTGAACCGGTGACCTCGCTGTGAAGCTAAACTTTCTACATCGTCTCCAACATGCAGCCCCGTTTTTTTTTCCTCTGGCTGTGTGTGTTCGGGGAGGGGGGGGGGGGGGTGTTCAACCAGTCACATGATCTGTTTATGACGTGGTTTTGTGTTTCCGTCGACACGCCGGAGTCATAAACTTTTTAAAGCGTCTCCACATAGAAACACTCTTCTGGTGTCTGACTGTCTGTGGACGGTCCTCTTTATGTGGACAGTCGTCATCATGGAGACTTACAGATCCAACCATATCTGACTCATGACAGATTTCAGTCGGAGGACAAGTGTCTGTGTCCGTCTGACAATCCTGAGTAGGATCTGTCTCCATACTCTCCACAGGTGTGTGTGGTTCTGGTGAACTCCCTTCAGAAGCAGCCTGGAGCTCAGAGCAGAGACGGTCTTGGAGCTGCAGTCTCAGGGCTTCAAACTCTTCTTCATGCTGCTCATTAATTCTGAGTTTCTCCAGCTGAAGGTTTGTGATTGCCCTATAGAGTCTGGTCTCTGTGTCCTCCATAGTCTGCAACTTGCTCATGAGGTCTCCATTCTTCTTCTGCAGATCTCCAATTTCTTTTTCTAAACTCTGATGAACTGAGTCTTTGTTGTGACTGTTCTGTAATTCTTGCTCTAACTGCAGGCTCTGCTGGTTTAAACGTTCCTGCAGATCTTCACAGACACTTTCCTTTTTCTGCAGCTCATTCTGTAAAGTCTGCACTCTGTTTAGTCTGGTTTCTGCGATATCCTGATAATAATCCAGTCCCTGCTCTAATTCATTAATTTCTATCAGTAATTTCTCCTTACTGGTGTCTTTTTTCTGCAGTTTTTTCTCTAACTCGACTCTCAGCTGCTTTTCTTTGTTAAAACACTCTTCCAGTTTTACACAGAGAGAAGATTTCTCCTCCAGCTGTGCGGACACCTCATCCAATGTCTTCTTCATGGAGTGAAAATTCTCCATCTTGGTTTTCAGATCTGTGTTTTCTTTATCTAATTCTCCAATTTGCTTCTTTACGTTCTGATTGATTAAATCTTTGTCTAAACTGTTCTGTTCGTCCTCTAGCTGGCGCCTGAGCTCGGGCTCGTCCTCTAAACGCTTTTGGAGATCTGCACAGACACCTTCCTTTATCTGCAGCTGAATTTCTAAAGCCATAATTCTTTTGTACTGGGTTTCTGCCTCACTTTGATGGAAACCCAGTCCCTCTTTCAGTTTACTGATTTCTTTCTTTAAGTTCTCGTTACTTGTGTCTTTCTCAAAAATCTTCAGTCTTTGGTGGAGTCTGATCTGATATTCCTGTTTTAAACGCTTTTGGAGACCTTCGCATAAATCGTCTTTTTCCTTAAGTTGAATATTCAAAGTTCTCACGTTTTCTTCATGGGTCTCTCTTTTGCTCTGGTAATAATCCAGTCCTTGTTCCAGTTCATTAATTTCTCTCTTGTAAAAAGCACAGTCAGACTCAGCCTTAATTCTGTTTTTCTTCTCGGTTCTCAGAGACTCTTCTGCACATTTCAGATGGTTTTTGAGTTCACTCACCTGCCTTAAAAGTTGTTCCATGTTTTCATGTTTTTCACAAGCAGCTGATTCCTGCTGGACTTTTCCAGATCCAGGAGTTTTTTCTAGTGGGTTCAAATCATGTTCGGAGCTTTCTTGGTCGTCTCCGTCAGAATCAAAATGTATTTTCAGATTGTAATCCACTTCTGGATCTTCAAGGCACGTCTCATTCCAAGACAGTTTTGTTTCACTAGAGACGTTGTTTCCAGGCATTTCTGGGTCTTTGTGTTAAATATTCTTGTGTTTGAGAGAGAAAGTCAAAAACGCGATGATTCTCACGAGAGCTGTGTCACACGTGTGTTAACAGTGAGCTGTGGTCACTACTACTGACTGATGAGCCTTTGATGATGTCATATAGAACACACTCATCTCCTTTATGTGTCTGCTTGTCTGCAGCTTCTCCAGATTCTCCCCCCCCCCCCCCCCCCCCCCCCCAGGTCCTGTGCTCCTGTTGGTCTCCCCTAGTCACCCCTCTGTAGTTTTTCTATAGGTTCAGCTTTTCATTTAAATAGTCTCTTTTAGTTTGTTTCTTTCCCCACCGGTTTTTTTATTCTCCTCCCTCCTTAGATCATTATTTATTTATCTTGCTCTTCTTGTCTTTAGGTTTTGTTTTTATTCTTAGCTCATGTTATTTTCCCCTCCTCAGCTCACCTTCCTCTCCCTGATTAGTTAATTGATTTCACTAGGTTTCTCTCCCCACGTAAATCTGTTTTACGATGGCGAATAACTTTGCAAAAAAAACTGTGTACCAATCTAAATTTGCAATATTATCAATTAAATATGCGCATAATATTTTTTTGTTTCTTGACTTATATTTAAGGAGGATAAAACCACTTGAGATTAAGCATCTTGTTTACAAGTGAGCAGAGGAAGAAAGTAACAAATTAAGTTTACTCGAGTTACTGTAATTGAGTAGCTTTTTTTGTGTATTAATACTTTTTAAGTCGTTTTGAAAATATGTACTTTTACTTTTGTGTGTCTTTTTTAAAATGAATCGTAATTCGCTACATTTTAAATCATATCCGTTACGGAGTAAAATTAAATAGTAGCTTAATGAATTAAAAATATTGCATGAGCACCGCTTCTAAACCGTGGTGGTGGTGGTGGTGTGTGTGGTGAGACGCTGGTTTCTCCATGCAAATCCATGCATCTTATTTCTTGGTTGAAGTAATAGTGAACAAAAAAACTTGTATTTCATAAATAATGATGTCTCAATAGTGTCTACGATAATATTTTATGTTATATTGTACCTATCTTTGGTCTGGGAGGTGTACCTTATCATGATACAAGCCTTTTAAAACATGTTAAAGTGTTACAAGAGGAGATAAATGCATGAATTTAAAGTTCATGTTTGGAGACCAACCTTTACAGTTTGGAGGCTCACGCTGGTGAGGAGACACCATTAGTTCTAGTAACACCTGGGCTCCCAAGGCCTGTTCTGACAGGATGGACGTTACGGGACCCTTAAGGATTCCAGTTGGATGATTGGAGGATTATTTAGGAGGATTGGAATGAACACACTGATTTCAGTGGTGAAGGGTTAAATGAGTGAGTGAACCCACTACCAAGGATGATCTCTAAGTTTAAAAATAAGCTGCTCTAAATAAGCATGAAGGTCAGAGAGGAGCTCTAGGATGGACACGAATAAAGGAACTGTAATGTAGAGGTAAAGTAGGGCAGGGCCAACGTTAGCAGCTGTCATACGGTCCATTTGAAATGTTTGAATTTTATTTAGCTTGTTATGTTATGTGACAGGTTAGAGCACAGTCTCATGTTAGAGTTTTGTCATGAAAACATTGAGATAGCTCACATGCTGATGGGAGCTAAAAAATATACTTTTTTCTCAAAATAAAGAATAATTTTAATCACAATTAAGACCTACAGTCGTAGAAAAACCTCGTCCAATCAATGTGCACATCCTGTTGTCACTGACTGGATAGAAATCCCTCCATCAAACTGTGTTTGTGTGTGTGTGCGCGCGCGTGTGTGTGCGTGTGCATGTGCATGTGTGTGCGTGTGTGTGTGTGTGTGCACACGCACAAACACGCGTGTTGCGAACCTGCGTTGTGATTTTGCACTACTTAGATGTAACTAATTTTTGGTTTGAGTACTTTTTATTTATGATACTTTTTACTTTTACTTGAGTAAAAATTTAGGCAAGTACTTTTACTTGTACTTGAGTAAAAATTATCAAAGTATTGGTACTTGTACTTAAGTAGGACATTTTAGTGATCTTTCCACCTTTAATAATAACAATAATAAATAAATTAAATAATAAGTGGGCTATTGCCATTTATTTTTGTTTTTGACATTAATTGCTTTTATTAAAGCTGTGGTCACGACTAACTCTGGGATGGTTGGTTGTGGTTTAGACTGGATCATGTAATCCAACTTTTTTTGTTATTTATGAAGTTGAATTTAAATTGTACAATGCAACTGGTTGACAATTTTGCATTTTCAACTTTACTACTGCCACTTAAGTTCCTTACAGAGAAGAATTAGTTTTAACGAGACTTATTCATGAGCTTTCTTTTGTGGCAGTTGTTGGATAAATGATGGATACATTATTTATTATTTTAAACAAAAGCTCATCCAGCTCATTTTGCCCTGGCAACAGGCAGGCGTTTGACCTTTCTTCTTCCCAGTCCTGGCTTATCAGTAAGAACGCCCTGTGCCAGCGTATGTTTGTCTCCCTTTGGAAGTCTAAAGGAATGTGTAAATGTGTGTGCGTTTTATTATGATTTGTGTGTCCTTAATAAATACTCTTGGAGGGCTTTTTGTCACACGAGAGCGAACTGACTACTGACTCGTGTTTTTCATTGATCTCTCTCCACTTTGCAAAGTCTAAATTGTTTGGTTATTGGTAAAAATTGGTATGGGATAAATCGATCAGCTTGTTAATACAACCCCTGCGTGGTGAGCTTTCCCTTCAGGTAACCCTGGATGGGAAAATGAAATACCTAACAGCAGTCACATAAATAATGTTTAACCTGCAAAACTTCTTTATTTTCATGACCTTGACCTTGAACAAAGGGGTCAACAAGTGCTATACACATCTGGGAACTCCTTCAACACCGTTGGAAAACCATTTCAGGTGACTACCTCTTGAAGCTCATCAAGAGAATGCCAAGAGTGTGCAAAGCAGTAATCAGAACAAAGGGTGGCTATTTTGAAGAAAATAGAATATAAAACATTTTTTCTCAGTTATTTCACCTTTTTTGGTTAAGTACCTCCAGTGAGAAGCTACCAATGTCAATGGTCATTCAAATAAAGACAACACATTGAATGAGAAGGTGGGTCAACACTTTACTCAGGACACTAACCCCCAAACTGGAGGAGTGGCTAAAGCAGATCCCAGGATAAACATCAGACATCTCAGTCCAAAAAGGTGCAGATAGGAACAGCTAAGATACTGCAGAACCCTCAAGCTCCCAGGCCTGTGGTAGAGGGCCTGAGCTAGGAAGGATGAGACCGCCAGTGGACGGTGAGATGGGAATTAATATATATATATATATATATATATATATATATATATATATATATATATTTGTTTTTTTTTTTTCAAAGATCTGTCAAACAACTTCAGTCCTGCTCAACCACATAAAAGCGTTCATCATTTTGAGAAGTGTAACCCTTCAAATGCCACATAGGGCCAAAAAGCCATCGGGAGTACAAACTTCAGCAAAATAACAAGCACATCAGACTCCTTTTCATCACTTCCAACAAGAGAAGAAGTAAATGTGTAAAACAACATTTATTAATGGAGAAAGTTTTTTAATTGTTTGTTTCAAGTCAGTAAATGCATTTTGTCCTCATGGGCTCCTGTAAAAGGAACCATGGCCTCTAATATGGTGCCGCCCAGAGACTTAGACCCGCTCCCATGTATTTTAGACCAGACTTTTATGGTTAGATGTTACAAAGATGTCCAATATTTTTCAGCAACTGGGCAACATTTAATTATTTTTCGACAACATTTTGATGGATGTTTCCAGAAATTAATGGTAAAAACTACACATTGTCACTTTAATGTCACCCAAGGGTACCCGTGGGGTCTTAAAGAGTCTTAAGAACATTGAATTTAGGAGTTTGGAAATAATAGCATAAACAAAGTGATGGAACCAATAATTGAGAACGCAGCACAGCCTGGGGTAAAAATACTCTGAACACCTGACGTATTCAGCTTCTGCGCTACAGCAGCAATACAACACTGTAAACATAACACAGTCCACACAGACCTCCAGCAGAGGAGAAATGCAGAAAAACTCAGCAGACCATGAGAAAGGGTCAGGGATGGACTGGGACTAAAAAACAGCCCTGGGCTTTGACTAGGCCTGGCCCAAAGTAATCAGCGATTGGAAACTTTGCAACAATAACGCTGGATTAAATGGAATATATCAATATATCAATATATCAATCAATCAATCAATCAATCTATCTATCTATCTATCTATCTATCTATCTATCTATCTATCTATCTATCTATCTATCTATCTATCTATCTATAGATATATGTATATATATAGATATACATATATATATATATGTATATCTATATCTAAATATATATATATATATATATATATATATATGTATATCTATATGTATATATACATCTATATATATCTATCTATCTATCATCTATCTATCTATCTATCTATCTATCTATCTATCTATCTATCTATCTATATATATATATATATATATATATATATATATATATATGTATATATTTCTATATATATAGATATACATATATATATATATATATATATGTATATCTATATCATCTATCTATCTATCTATCTATCTATCTATCTATCTATCTATCTATCTATCTATATATATATATATATATATATATATATATATATATATATATATATATATATATATTAAGTGCCCTGTATCAGCCTGTGGAACCAGCTCACCTTTCTTGCAAAAAAGTGAACCAGAGTCCATCACCTTCCAGAACAGTGAAAGGGGACCTGCCCGCCAGCACAAGAATGAGGCTATAGAGGCCCAAAATCAAGATACTATGTAACATTTGTGGGGATGCACACTTCTAATCAAGAGATCATTTTCTCTGGTGGAGAAGAGTAATTGGTGTCACGTACGTCAGAGTTTTATCTGGCTAGGCAGATTGAGACATGCGCATACTAGGGCTGCACAATTCTGGTTAAAATGAGAATCAGGATTTTGCTTAGAAGTGAGATCTCAATTCTCTCATGATTTTTTTCCAGATTAAGTGTTTATTGCACTGATTACATGCACATCAACTTTATAACAGCTGTCGCTGAACATGAAAACAATAAATGTCTCTCGTCGTCTCTTAACCCTCTGGAGGCAGGTGTTAAAACCTACCTACCTGCTTACTCCACAT